GCTTGCCTAAACGAGGGGAGTGTGTGACCTAGTGGTTAGGGTTCGTGACTCATGATTAGAGGGTCCGGGGTTTGAATCCAGCCGCTGGTCATATATTGTGTCCTTGGGCAAGGCACGTCACCCCCTTGCCCCTCTCCACCCAGGAGTATAAATGGGTACCGGCATTAGCTGGGGAGTAACCTGCGATGGACTAGCATCCCATCCAGGGGGAGTAGAAATATTCTCAGTCGTTTCATGCTACTGAAACCGGAGATAAACACCGGCCTGATGAGCCACATTGGCTCGGGACAGACTTTATTTACTTTTACTTTACTTGCCCGAACGACTTGTTAGGCATACCTGAATCATTCCTCAGATGCCTAAATGGACATGGATTTTTCATAAATTTAATATCCAAATTGAATACCGATACCCAAAGAGCGTGGACTGGCCTCCTGTGGTATTACTACTTGCCTTAAGGGATTAACCAGATAATGTCACACTGGGCTCAGTCAAAAATAAACATCCAAACTCCTGGTATAAAAAGGGCCAAGGCTTTTAAAAGGGAAAATCACCTCATGAGGAAGGGTCTGGATGAATGACCTCTTAAATACAATTTTGCAATTCGCACATTGTTGTTTGCCAGATTCTGCAATGATCAGAGGCCATCCTCTTGGGCTTGACCTGAAAGGTGACGGTCTCCAGGACAGTGACAGAAGGCAGGACAATCCCCACGTCACAACCTCCCATCAGTCCCCACGCAAACTGGAGCCTATGACCAACACCCGCACCCCGGCAGCAGCAGCTACACAGACCAACCTAGACACCCAGCGAATGGGGCAGGTCCAGGGTGCCTTCGTGGATCAGATCAACTCGGATCTGAAAAATGGGGCATTGGACACTGACCCCGCGGACCATACCCACAGACCAGAACTGACCTATCACAATGGTGATCCAAGCGTCACCTCTGGCAGACTGACTAATGGGGAGGCCCGAAAATCAAGAGTTGCTCATCAAAACCAAGGTCTTGGTTTGGACGGAGGGAGAACACTAACCGAGATGGATTTGAGGACGTTTAGGGGCGAGATGGATGAGAATCATCTGAATCCTGGAAGGCTGTCTTCTTCCAGGACACAAAGCGGGAGAGGAGATCAGAATCGGATGCAGAGCGCCAAGAGCTACAACGTCACCAATCCCTGGTTCGGAGCACGCAACCTCCAAACCGTTGGCCAGATCAATTTGAGCAACGGTGGTCCACTCGGCCAAGCCCCGCCCCCAATCAGAACACCGCGGGGTCGCCAGCTGTCGGCCGTCAAGAAGAACCACATGGACCTGATAGAGCAGCAGTACGGCCGCTTCCTGTCCGGGGTAGACCCCAAGAGGGCGCCCTCCACTGCCGCTAAGTACCTGCAGAGTCTCGCCAGGAGCATGAAGGGCAGTGAAGGGATGCCCAATCAGCCAAAGGCAGTGACAAAACGGGTGGATAAGAAATGAAACAACTACCGCAAGATCCTGATGAAAATCTAGACCGAATTGGGGCGATGCTCATACAGTAGCATGTTGTTAACTTATCACTACTATTCCAGTATTGGAAGCTTGATGTGAGCAACGTGATCAGGCTAAAACCCTTTACTTTATTTTTGGTTTTCCCTAAATTTTTTTTAAAGGAGGGGAAATGAATGGTTTCGCTCTGAAACTGAAATCTCCGTCCACGTTGTCTAGTCTAGGAGTCTTTTCTTGCCTTGCACAGATTATGACATGTTGTTACCTTGAGAAAGGTCATGCCACAACTGAAACGTTAGTCCATATAATTTTTTTTTTTAACCGATGACCACTAAACAACAGAGATAAATTGAAGGACATGAATTGCATTGTTCTTGGGAGTTCTTAGCTGGATGTGAACCGGAACCTCACGAAACGCAAGCTCTACATCAACGATCAACCTCTACTTAGCCAGTAGTTGTCCTCAATTAAACTTGGTCTATATTTAACATAATGGTCAGAGGTTGGCTAGAGGGAAATTCAATGCTCCAGTTTACACAAGCAGAGCTTTTCTATTCTACACATTTATTTATTGCATTATTCTATTAAACGTGAGCATTAAATTCCTATCAGCGTGAATGACAATCATTGACCAAATATTCCATTAATAACTCACACTGAAAAACATAGGTATTACATTTGTATATCGAAGAGCAATCACTAGTCTAATAATAATTATTAATAATTTATACATTAATATTGCACAAATTCCATAAAAATATGATCAAATCCACATTACAATTATTATCCCTGTTCATCAGGAATGAGACCCTGCAGCAGTTTGACATCCGCGCAATAATGGTCTCTACCTTCACAGGTACCCATTTATAATCCTGGGTGGAGAGAGGCCGTAGTAAAGTGCCTTGCCCAAGAACACAAGCACCATAGTCCCTGTCAGGGTTCGAACCGAATCACCGATGTGCCACGGCACACGAGTCAAAACACCCTTACCATTGGACCACAGCACCCCACCTGGACCACAACACCCAACCTAGTCTGTCATAAGTCAATCATACATGTAAGTCAAATCACAAGCGCGGTGGCTACAGGGTTCAAGAGTCCGACTACCAAATGTCTCTGTAGCAGTTCATTCAAAAAGATTGTGAATGACTTGAGATAGAATTGACTCGTGATGAGTTGCGATGTTCTTGTTGTAGGACTTGTGATAACTTAATCTCAACTTTTTCATAGGTGTGATTTTGTATTTGGTTTGAAAAATAAAATATTTGAAAACAATCCCATCCCTAGTATTCACAGCATTTGATGACGAAGCTAGTAATATAACTTCTTGAAATTTCAAATTATAACATGATATTCCATTCAGAATAGGGCGAGTAAAAAAAAATGTCCCTTTGGATAATTCCTTGTCTCCCACAAAAAACGGGAAAGAATACCAGTTTTTTTCTCTTCAGCCAACATTTGATATTGGTATTGACCACATTCAGTGCAAATTTCACTGATTTCAGCCATGCATGCGAAGGATACAGGCCTTTCTTTGTGACTACCCAAAAACACTACCAACACAATATACAGAATCGGCCTCTTTGTGAACACAATGGCACGAATGGGCCTCATCAGGACAATGAAGGAAATACATGTATATGAAATAACAGAACAAAACAGCAATCAAATGGAATTACATCTATTGAAACTGAATTACAGCTAAGGTTCCCATTTTCACTGTCCTGCTGCTCGACCTTCCACCTGTCTGTCATTCAGATCAATGCATAGTGCCCGTGTCCTCATGTCCGCAATACGTCTGCGGACAGTCCGTGTTCTTCTGAGGGTTTGCCAACAAAGTACTGGTGGCATATTTCCCCAGTACTTTGTCGGCAACATTCCTGCAGGGTTTTTGCCACAATGCGGTACACCCGGTCCTTGAGGTACACCACAGAAAAAAAAAATATCTCGAGATTTTGGCGCCCCTCGTGGGGTTCTTGTTTGCGCCATTAAATAATGTTAAACACCCCCGTAAAATGTTGGGCATAGTGTTTTGGGAAGTCACAAATAAAGGCCTTATCCTTTGCATGCATGGATGAGTATCAGTGAAATTTGTACTGAATGAAGTCGATGCACAGATCCATTGTTGGCCGAAGAGAATAAAATGGTAACCTTGTGCGTTTTTGTAGGAGACAAGGAATTACCCAAAGGAATATTTTTTTGTACTCGCCCTGTTTATCAGTGTAATTAAGTGTTGTTTAAGGTTTGTTCGATTTGAATTGATTGGAGTAATTTGCAGTAATTCTAATGTTTGTCATTTTGCTTTAATTTAAACAATGCAAATTTGTTCCCTGTATTTTTTTTTCTTCATTCAATCCAAATCGAACGGTTGGCTTTTTTCATACCGTCCACTTGTATAAAGATATTGTATCATATTTACGGCAATAAATGACAGCAGTTTTGTTTACATTATTGTCAGCCTTCTTCAATTGTATGTCACTTATTTGTGCATGCGCTCATATCATTTCAGACTTAACTTTTTACATGTAATTAGATAAGTAAAACACAAATACTGTCTAATAAACAATTCGAATTTACCATTTACATGATACAATTATATAACACCAATAAAATTGAGCTACACTTACACGCAAGGCAATAACGTTTTCTCCCTTGCTATGACAAAAGAGTGTTGACTCGAAATTGATTAAGTCTTCGATACGTTAATTTTGGCTATAGCAGGCGCTAAAATCGGATGCGACTTGTGCGGAGACTACGTACACGAGGAGCACGACAAAATCCCATAGCCGGACGACGTCCGAATTCAACGGTTGCAGCCGGGAATTACACATGTGCCTTTGCAAGCAGCTAAATCCACTCAGACGGGTAGACGTGTGTTAGTCTCCACTCAATTCGGTCAAATGACTAAAGTCAAGCGGCCTACTCAAATAACTACCTTCCAAATACAGTTTATTGAACAAGACATATTATTTTCCAAGATACCCTTCCTTACATGATATTTTTTTTAAAACTTTGACTACTGCAGTACCGCTACTTCAACACATCTTTTGTCACAAAATATCTTAAATATTTATACACCAACAGCATTAGCAATGTACATGTTTGTAAAACTTGATACAATAAAATTACAATTCTGTTAAATAATATACATGTATGTCAATGTCATAGATGATTTTTTTTTTTTATTTCGTCAGGCGGACTCTACTGCACTTGCCACCGTGATGATCTGATTCTTTTCTTCATTTCAGAGTCTTTAGTTATCCAATTCCTATGTATATTTTCCTGTTCAATGTATCCGTTTCATAAGTCAGTTTCGTGAAGGTAGAACATGCGACTTTTTATCCCTAAATGGATTTTTGCTATCAATCACTGTGCGGAGATCAGTGGCAATTCTGCACTGACTTTTTGAGGGAGTCAATCCGAAGTAGCAATCTTTCTACACGTACCTTCGTCAGTCCTGAAAATCCTCCAAACCTTCCTAGTGGTGTTTGAAGCAACTAGAAAGGTTGAAGTTAAAGTTAAGCACATGCTTGGAATTTCCAAGCCGGCATCTTACATACGAAAGGCTCTTTGTTAGAGCAGTGGGCGTCATTCATGGACCCGTCCGCCGACAACATCTTGACGCAATGCTCGCTAGCAAGGTTGGGCTCACCCGGGATCCAGTTGAAAAATCCAGGCAGGCTTCCATCGATCCAGACATACTGACCGTTCGGACTGCTCTCACTTGTGTATCCAATCCAGAATCGCCAGCCTATCCCGGCTTTATCGGCGTAGCTTGTGACGAAGTAGCTTTCGTTGACATTAGCCACTGATACCAAATGAGCAGATCTTCCCGGTGTGGAGAAACTCTGGCAGTAGGAGTCAGCATCCCAGAATGATCTTCGTTCCGCCACACCTAGGTAGCAGTGATCTCCATAACGTAACCACGGTACTTGGCATAACACTTTTGTGAAAAGTCCATCAGTGCGGCAGATTTTTGTACTGTATATTATAATAAACAGAAACACTACAAGCTGCCGTAATATAGTCATGGTTCGGAATTCGTACGGTGATCACTTTATAAGAACGCGTCGGTTGTCGGAATTAAACTATCGATTATCAGTTTTAGAATAGTCCCGAGCGAAATTCAATATACGTGCTGGTAGGACCGAGCTACAAAGATGCGAATTGTCTCTACCTAGTTCGTCGTTTTTGGCATACACAGGATCATTGTTTATCATGTCCAAAATTTTGAACAATATGTCAATCAATTTCATTAGAAGATACTGCGAGAGGCAAAGACAAAGCTCGCCACAGTAAAAGCAACAATATAATCCTCCGTTCACAGATCGAGAGCGATCCACCGATCACGGTAAAGGAATGCTTTGTGTAATGAGAAAGATTCCACTAATCACTAAGAACGATTCTAGCGCTATGAAGAACGATTCCTTCCTTCACGGAGAACGATTCCACAGATCACGGAGGACGATACCCCGGATCACAGAGAACAATTCATTCATCCATGGGAACGTTTCTTTCCTTCATGGACATTTTTCATTCGTTGACGTAGATGTTACTGATGTTCATCAAAAAGTTTGCCTTTTAACAGAATAACCTGCGAAACTGCTAAAACCGCCGCTATTACTGGAACGGACTCTTTCGTGAAACACGAAATGTGTTCGTAGTGTGTCGGTGCTGTCTCAGTCTTGACATGCTTCCGTCTTGTCTGCCTCAGTCAATCTGCAATTTGTTCGAGTCATCATCGAAGTCACCACTGACAGCAATAACAAACTACTTATATGTTTGGCATTATTTTGCCACCAGTAATATTCCAACTTTCATCGGATTCAACCTGGAATCTGAAACGATGCCCAAGACCCGTTGACTTCGGGAGAAAACGACCCATCCACTCACTTTGAATTGCCAGAGTGGTCAAATGTTTCACATACAGTAGTAATAAACGTTAGGGGTGGTTACAAATTGCGTTCAGAAAAATAAAAACATCAAGTGTTTATTGAAAGTCTCCGAGTTGCGCAGGTGAAAATCAATAAGTTTCCAACGTTTGACATCGACCTTCGTATAGCAATTAATGTTGATTGACGGTTAGTAGTCAGTTTATTAAAAGCCTCCGCGTCGACGATGGCCCGGTAGCTTGGCAATATTATAAATGTCTCCCATCGATGCATACAAGTATGATCAATAGCACGTACGCGTATAAAAACGGTTTGACTGATTCTTATACAACCTTGCAATACATTATTTGAAAGTCTCCATGTTGCACGCGCAGTTGAGAACATCGTGTTTTTCTGCATCAACGGAGACCTTCACATTATGCTGACTGCATGGTTAGCAGTCGCTTAATTAACATGTTTCGTCAGATGTAGCCCGGTATTTTGATAATTATAAGTTATCTCGTCGGTGCAACAAAGCGAAGTCGCCTTTACAGGTTGATGTCTAATTACAGGTTGATGCAAGCCAAGGTGGTTCACAGCCACCCTTGTCCATTTGTAGCAAGTCTATCTTGCATTTTGCATCTATTAGTCCAACAAGAAGCAGAACGAACAAAACGTTAAAAAATTCCATGTATTCATGACTGAAAAGTTCGGTTGACTGAAATGTTTGCTCGAGTCATGCTCCAACTTCCATTGGAGTCGCCATGTATTCAAACACGGTGCTCAAGACCCGTCGCCTATCTGCACCTAATCCACAGACCAAGTCTGCCACAGACGAACGTCTACATCGCATCTGTGCTGGCTGCCTGGTGAGCAGTTTATTTATCCACTTCGTCCAGTTCTCCCGTCGGTGCATATAATTATGATAGGCACGATATCACAACAATAATGCGTATATCTTTCAAGTCTGAGCAACAAGCACACGAAGAACAACAAGCATGCTAAGTTGCTTGGTAACACGCATCAACAGAGCAACAGGTTGACGTCTTCACCTTAAAGCGACTAACGTCTGTAATACGCGGCTGTCATTGTTTCTGATTGACGGACGCAGACGAGTAATTAGTTTGTAGATGGACCTTCGCTTACTTGTTGCTGTTGTCCATCTATTAATAAGCTAAGCTTCATTGACATTTAATATTTAGAAAGATGAAGTGAAGTCTTGATTGCTGAAACTATAATGAGACCTATCTGAAATTGCCATAACTGATGATGACATGGCTCTTCAGAAAAGTTGTTTACGACCAAGTATCACCGTCACTGTGACTGAAGGCTTGGTAATATTCCAGATTTCAGGTACTTGTGTTCTTGAGCATGACACCTTACATTAAGTAATCTGTCTGTCCGTAGAAGTACAGAATGATGTCTGAGATTCCGGGGTAGGATGTTCGTTGAAATTGCGAGCGCAAAGACTGTAAAGCCAGATCGAGCTTCAGCAGGAAATCGTTTCCCATGTGAGTTCCGAGCCAGAGTGCACAACTTGCAATGGTAACTGAATGAGATATGTTTAGCCGGCTTACGGCTTACATGTCATGGCAAACTGACTTGTCATTTTGTGTCATTTTATCGTCAAAGTAACAGAAGGCTTGACAATATGTCAGATTCCAGGTACTTGTGTCCTTGAGCATGACATCTTACAGTTAGTAACTTGTCCGTCTGTAAAAAGACGGCATGATGTCTGAGTTTCCGGGGTATGATGTTCGATGAAATTGCGAGTGATAGTTGCGAATACAAGCCTTACCAGGCCCGTTAAGCCAGAGTATACCAAACGGATACCAATGGTATACGCGTTCGTGAGGCACAGGTACAAAGGGAGATGTGAAAGACAGGTTTCTGAGTTGTTGGTACCTAGACCATGTGGGTGTTATTATAGGTTGCACAAAGACTATTGTCGGATTTTCCAATTTTCATCTTACAGATGATGAAACGGGGGTTTGTACACCACTGAGCAACCCAGACGGCGCTTTTGTAAATACCAACGCAGTTGTACATGTTGTTGATGGGTCTTCCCGGGGCCCAGTTCTCGTAGGTAGGGATGCTTCCATCTGTCCATCCGAATGGCCTCGTGTTGCTTTCCCTTTTGTATCCAATCCAGAGACCTTTGGATAAGTCTATGCCTGAAGCTGTCGCGTATGAATGGATGAACTGATTCTCTTCCTCACTGGTAATCGATGCCATATGAGCTGGTCTTCCAGGTTTGGAAAGATCTTGGCAGTGGTTCTCAGCCTTGTTAATGTTTAGACGGGCACGGACGCTCAAGTAGCAGTGGTTGCCCCATGCAAGCCAAGGTGGTTCACAACCACTCTTGTTGATGTCCCTTTGTCGAAAGGTGATCTTGCATCTTGCATCTGTCTGTCCAACAAGAAGCAGAACGAAGAATCGTACCAAATGACGTAAAATCATGACTGAGAGTTTGGCTTTGTTTTGCCTCCAGTAATGCTCCAACTTTCATCGAATTCCAAATGAAATCAGACACGATGCTCAAGACCCGTCGCCTATCTGAAACCTCCTTGGAATACTGTACAGACGAACGAAGACAATGTTCTGTGTATAAACCTCACTCTTCGGTCATTAAAGACGGATACATGCAGTTAAAGATAATCACACTAGCAGTTTTGAGATTGTCGTTTACAGTATCGTTGCCATTGACTTCGAGAGAAAGCAACCATCCAGTCCATGTGCTTCATGATGCCAGTAGTTTACGTTAGTGGTGGTTACAAATTGCGATTATTGGAAGTCTCTGAGTTGCGCAGGTAGGAATCAAACCAGTTTCCTACTCCGAGATCAACGGAGACCTTCGCATTTGTGCTGGTTGTACGGTTTGCAGTCAGTTTATTAAGCCACCACGTCGATGCTGGGGCCGGTAGCTTGGCAATATTAGCGTCTCCCGTAAGTGCTTGCATAGAAGAATGATATTGAAAAAGCACGTACGCGTAACGGTTGGACTGGTACTTATACAACCACATAATGCATTATTTGAAAGTCTCAGTATTGCACGCGCAACTGAGAACCACACAAGTGTCTTTTCCTGCATCAACGGAGACCTTCGCATGTGCTGGCTGTACGGTAAGCAGTCGCTAATTTATTAAGCCAATACGTCAACATGTGGCCTGGTAGTTTGGTATATAACTTCTCCCGTCAGTGTACTAAAAAAAACCATATCTTCTCATGGGTGAGGGGAAACGCAATCTCCTACAAAAAGTCAACAACAACCATTTTTGGTTGCTGGGAAACTCGTTTTTTAATACTGAACAACAGGTTGACGTCATACAAAATCGACGTCTGTAATACGCATCTGCCATGGCTTTTGATTGGCGTACGGAATAGGCATTTTAGGTTGCTCTCAATTGGTAACTCGCATTTGCATGGCCAACACGTGGACGTCTTAAGTATAATAATGCGCGTCTCCCCTCGCTTCTGATTGGCGTACGCAGACGTATTGAAGAAAGTGGGCCAAGGTTTCAGGTGACAATAAGATATGAAGGCTGCCATTTGGGTAATTTCTGCCACAGTTTTTGTTCTCGACGAAGTCCTCGGTCATGAATTTCTGCTGAGAGAATTCGAATCCAATTATAAGGGACTGAATAGACCTGCTGCCATTACAGAGGAAAAAAACTAATAATTTGATCCAAGTTGGCCATTATGGGCGATGTCTGCCTCAATTACTGGTCTCGGCCGAGTTCCTTGATGACAAATTTGTGCCGAGGGAATTTGATGTCAATCATAGACACAATTATGAGCGACTGAATAGACCTGCTTCCCTTGCGGAGGAAAACCAATAATTTGATAATAATAACCAGATTCCTACTCCGAGATCAATGGAGACCTTCGCATTTGTGCTGGTTGTACAGCTAGCAGTAAGTATTTAGCCACCGCTACGATGATAGGCCGATAGCATGGCAATTTTAACGTCTCCCGTAGGTGCATAAAAGTATTGACATTGCACGTACTCGGTTCGGTTGCACTGGCACTTAGAATCACATAGCATGGTATTTTACTTGAAAATATCATTGTTGCACACAAAATTGAAAAAAAAAAACTTCAAGTGTCTTCCTCTGTATCGTCGGTGCATAGAAGTATGGTACAAAATTTATTGACATATGCACGTACGTGTAACGGTAGGACTGGTGGTTATAGTTATACAACCACATAATGCACTATATTATTTGAAAGTCTCAGTATTCCACGCGCAACTGAGAAACACAAAAGTGTCTTTCTTTCTGCATCGTCAGTGCAAAGAAGTATGGTATTGACATAGCAACGTACGCGTAACGACCCTTAATTATACAACCACATAATGCATTATGTTATTTGAAAGTCTCAGTATTGCACGCGCAATTGAGAACCACACGGTTTGTTTTTTTCTGCATCGTTGGTACATTAATTAAGTATGGTATTGACATAGAACGTACGCGTAGCGGTTGGACTGGTAATTATATAGCCTTGACCAAGGCTATCAGCTTGTTCCCATACGAGCTTGTTCCCGCTACCGCACACAGCGCGCGCCGCAACACTATTACTATACCGTTAGCCTCGACGACCCTTGCATGTGCTTTGTGTGCATGTACGTACACCCCACACACACTTCCGCAAACAGCCGTACAGAAAGTCGAGGCCTCCGCCTCGGCTTCTTACTGTACGGCTGTTTGCGGAAGTGTGTGTGGGGTGTACGTATAGATGCACACGCAAGGGTCGTTGAGGCTAACGGTATAGTACAACTAGCGTGTCGCGGCGCGCGCTCAGCGGTAGCGGGAACAAGCTCGTATGGGAACAAGCTGATAGCCTTGGTCAAGGCTAGTATTTATACAACCCATACTACATTTTACTGAACAACAAGTCGACGTCTTACGAGACCGACGTCTATAATACGCACCTGCCAATGGTTCTGATTGGCGAACGAGGACGATGAGGCCTGATTGGTTCGTTAAAGAGGCACATCGTCCTGCAATTGCCGTGTGGTTCATAGGAAAATAACCTCATGTCTCACTGTTCTTGAGAAAAAAATGAGGACAAAACCGGTTGTTTCTTCTGATTCGGCAGACATTATGTTATATATGTTTTCCCAGCCGTAAATTAAGTCTCTGTGTTCATGATGTCGGAAAATACAACGTATACATGTAAACGTCATGTACCGTCGCGTCCACCCCCTGTGTCACTGTTTCCCATACTTGCCCTCATTGCATGTGATGCACCGGTAGGCCTACCGTACATTATGTGCACTTGAATGGCATCAGGCAGCACGGCCCGAGCGGTGGAAGCGTACGTTGCGGTAGATAGGTCCCAAGTAATCTATCACCCGAACAGCATGATGTTTTGAGTCAAAATTTCGATCTCGTAAGAATAACCCAAAACGGACTTTTATGCTTTAGTATGGTAGTATGGATGTCTACTTTGTCTACTTTGTCTACATGTAATATCATTTCGTGAGTAACGCGTTTTGTTGCCAAAATGGGCGCTTTCAAAATGCAGTTTCCCTTTAATTAAGCTGCGTTTACTTGTGATAGGAGTAAGCGCTGTGCTGTGGTACCTTTGTGAAAGGCATTGCATCGATTTAACTCAAGACTGTTTATACGGGGACTTATATTTTGTCATTACCATAGTGACTAAACTCCTCATGAAAGTTGCCTTGTACCAGGCCTGGTCGTCCACGCTGTGATTTCAAATTTCCCGTGTATGTGTCCTTGACCACGAATTTCCTTTGCGTAAATGTTAATGGGAAGAGAGGATGGATAGCATTGATGGGAGAACCAGCAGTCACAAATGTCACCAGTGGTGTACGCGCTCAACTAATTAGAACTATCGTGGATACAAAATATAGTTTCAAAGTTTTTGCGGGAGATTGCTTTTCGTGAACGTCGCAAGCAAGAGGTGAAAACGTTGCTCTTTGGACAACTTTTAAGTAAGTGAGTGAGATCTGTGTAGTCGTAGGTAATGCTTAACATTTATAGGCAGTCTGACTTGTTATATTTGTGTCATCTTCATCATCTTGCAGACAAAACTACGCGGGTTTGTGCACCACTGAACGCGCCACAGTTTGTCTTTCACGTTGACACATTTCATGCCAGTGGCAAGGTGTTGGTCTGGATCCCCAGCTCTCCAGCTTGAAAAACCAATTGCTGAACCATCCGTCCAGCTGAATCCCCCGTCGTACCTGTATCCAATCCAGAAACCGTCGGTCTTGATCCCCGAAGCTGTTGCGTAGGCATCTATGAACTGGTTCTCCTCATCGCTGGTAACCGACGCCAGATGAGCCGGTCTTCCAGGTTTGGAGAGACCTTGGCAGTAGTCCTCAGCAAGGTAAAAATTAGGCTCCAGGTGACTGACAGTCAAGTAGCAATGGTCGCCCCATGCAAGCCAAGGTGGTTCGCAAACAGAAGTGGTCATTTGTCGCAAGTTGATCTTGCATCCTGAATCAATTTTGAGTTCAATCAAAAGCAGAACGAAGAATCGTACCAAATGACCTGAAATCATGACTGAGAGTTTGGCTTTATTTGTCCTCCAGTAATACTCCAACTTCCATCGGATTCCGAATGAAATCAGACACGATGCTCAAGACCCGTCGTCTAATTGCTATCTCTTTGCGAATCCACAGACCGAGACTGCCACAGCCGAACGTCTGCATCGCATCTGTGCTGGCCGCATGGTTAGCAGTTTATTAATCCACTTCGTCCAGTTGTGCCGTCGGTGCAAATAATTATGATTGGCACACTTTTTCAATTATAATCCACATCTCAACGCGGGCAAGCAAAAAACAAAGTCTTACACAAAGAGTAGCAACAACAAGCATCTTAGGTTGCTTGGCAACTCGCACTAACTTAGCCATCACGTTGACGTGTTTCAAAAGCGCCTAACGTCTATTATACGCGCCTGTCCCCGCTTCTGGCACGCACGCTCAAGTAGCAGTGGTTGCCCCATGCAAGCCAAGGTGGTTCACAACCACTCTTGTGCCTTTGTCGAAATTTGGTCTTGCATATTGCATCAGTTTGTCCAACAAGAAGCAGAACGAATAAACGTAACAAATTATGTGGAGTCATGACTGATATTTTCGGTTGACTTTGGCTTGAGTCTTACCACAACAAGTATTTAAAAAACGCTGCTTAAGACACTTTGCCCGTTTGCAACCTCCTTTGAAAATCGCTGACAAACTTCTGCTTCGCATCTCTGCTGGCTACACTATAATCAGTCAGTGTTATTGAGCCACTGTACGTCATATCATTTGGTTTGATTTCTCCCGTTGGTATATAATTATGTTTGGCACACTATTTCAATAACAATCTAAATCCCCTCGTGGACGAGTGAAAAGAGTTACAACAATAGGTATCTGAGGTTGCTTGGTAACTGGCATTTACAGGGCCAACACGTTGACGTCTTACGTATAATAATACTCGTCTCTCCTCGGTTCTGATTGGCGTACGCAGACGAGTGATTAGTTCGTGCATGGGCCTTCACTCACTTTTTGCTATTTTTATCGATCAATAAGCTAAGCTTTAGTGAAATGTTTTGTAATATGAAGGGCTCTGCACGTAATTGAATGCATGATTGTTTAAACTATAACAATGGGCCCAATCTGTCAGACTTACTATAAAAGGGGATAACAAGCCTCTTCAGAAAAGTTGTTTACGACGGGTAGTATCGTCAATGAGACTGAAGGCTTGGTAGATTCCAGGTACTTGTATTCTTAAGCGTGACATCTTAAATTAAGTAATCTGTCTGGGTAAAATTTAATTTGGTCTTGTATGAACTCAAGTTTTGGTTGAATTTAACCTAAACAATTGGGTAAAGCATAACCCAATTTTGGGTAGTTGCAGTTTTCACCCAGTGGGTAAAATTGTCCCAGGCAATTTTTCAGTGTCGAAAGACAGTACGATGTCTGAGATTCTGGGGTAGGATGTAGGGTGAAGTAGGCGAGAGGGAGTTGCGATTACGAGCTTTACAAGGACCGTCAAGCCGAGTATACTGTAACGTCGACCGGATCCTGGGTTTTCACACGCCTAGACGAAGGAAAAACACAGACACCATTCTTCAGGGTTTCGGGGCTCTAGGCCGTTTATTCTTGCTACTTTCTTACACGAGGCTCCCTTTTTATACAACTCACAACAAAGGCACGTTACAATACCAAACTGTTACCAATGGTATACGCGTTTTAATTCTTGAGGCACAGGATACCAAGGGAGATGTTAGAGAGAAAGGTTTCTGATGTGTTGGTTCCCAGACCATGTGGGTCTTGTTATAGTCTGCACAAAGAGTATTGCCTGATGTTCCAGTCTTCATCTTACAAATGATGAGACGGGGGTCTGTTCCTTTGTCGAAAGGTGATCTTGCATCTTGCATCTGTTTGTCCATCAAGAAGCAGAACGAACAAACGTAACACGATCTGTGGGGTCATGACTAAAACTTTCGGTTGATTTTGGCTCAAGTCATGCTCCAACTTCCTCTGGAGTTTCCAAAAACGCTGTTCAAGTTGCCAAAAAACTTCATTGGCAATCCACTAACAAATGTCTTCTTTCAATCTGTGCTGGTTGCACTGTAATCTAGTCTTATTATAAAGCCACTTCGTCGGGCTGTTTGATTTTTCCCGTCGATACTTATAATTATGATAGAAACGACATTCCAAGAACAATAATCCACATCCTCTCATGGGCGACCGAAAAGCGCAACTTATACACAAAGAGTAACAACAATAGGCATCTTGAGTTGCTTGGTAACTGACATTTACAGGGCCAACAGGTTGGCGTCTTACAAAAGCGGCTAACGTCTATTTTACATGTACACGCGTGTCCCCAAGATTGTTAGGTTTGATACCGATGTCACTCATGTCTGAATGCAAATTAGTTCAAATTTTTATCTGAAGTGATGAATGAAGACTTTGAAATTGAACTGCACAACTTCAGCAGGTGCATGCTCGCCTGCATTTTCTGCTAGCGGTTTCTTCGCTGTGAATTTGTTAAGCTCACTATAACACTAAGCTGTGACTTAAGAGGTCGTCGAATGCTTCATCAAAATCTCCAACCACTTCAACACTTTGGTCTCGCGGAGCTACTCGTCCATTCAGGCTAGTTTTCTGACATTTTCACGCACTACCAGAGTTTTGCAGTGCGCATTTGTGACTGCCAGCTCCTCGGTTTTTCCTACTTCCAGTCACAGTCTGTCTACCAATTTTATTATGAACGCTTTTTTATTACATTCCATGCTCATTGGTTTAGTGTGCAAGTTTGTCTCACTGGTAATAGCGACTCACTGGTTCCATTGCGCATGCCTATAAGTAAAGATAATTTCCACAAAGGACAGGTCACGTGTGTGAGGGCTATACTATACATACCTGTTAAAGGTAAATGGGTTTGGATTTCAAAGGGGTCCAAAAACCACACCAGCATCTATCGAAAACTGGAGTCGATAACTTGGCATTTGGAAATGTCCATCAAAATTCTTCACCTGCCGTTTGATTAGGTATTTTAACAAAAAGAGGCAGTTATTCTTACCGAGACAGAACATTTCAAAATGAGAGACCTTGAAGCAAGCATCCCCCTTATTAAACTCTGCTTCAATGGTACGTTTCTCTGTTGCATTCCCCTCTACTGGGTCGCAAAAATAGAACTGTGCCTAATTCGACGTTCATTTTAATAAAAAGCAGACGAACGCTCTCGGATGTTCGCGCCTCAGAGACTCTTGTTCTATTCCATGTCTAATTGATCACGAATTTAATGTAAACCATAGCAAGTTGTGCAGGCCTACGTTCAAATGCAATTTTTTTTCGTCAATGGGTCTCGAAGACACATTCTATTCATTGCTTCAGTATTTTATCATAGATCCAGCGCGGCAGCTAGTTCCAACGAATTCGTATTGTGGATCGAGTCATCCGTAGCAACGGGAGCAATTTCGACGAATCACGGTGCTGCGGATTCCTCGCTTTGTACAAGGCAAGGTGGGTTTGGTAACCAATGTCACTCATGTGCCAAGATATTGATTTTCAGAGACTGGTTTGCTATCTGACGAAGCGACTGCGTTAGCAATAGGAGTGATCTATCTGTGCCGCTGCATGAAAATGTGTTCGATGATAAAACAGTAGCCTACACTGCAAATGTGCGAGTAAAACTACTAACCAACAATAGGAAATGCACCCTGTCCACACCGCAGAAGTTTTAGGTTTATCGATGTGCACGTCTGTTTCTGACTGACATCAAGTTGTAAATTTCGGTTTCGTTGTTTTTGAAATTCAGTCTTCATCATCATCATCATCACCTTCCTGTACTACGCAGAAAGCTCCTCGGGAGTATACTCGCGACATTGGTTGAAGTGCAACCAAGCAGGTGCAGACTCTTAACTCGAGGCATAAAAAGACAAATGTGTACAAGTTAAAACGGCTATTCGGGACTGATTGATTAGCTGAAGGTGACATCACTCACTCACTCTGGTCTTGAAGACATCTAAGGTTGGAGAATCAACAACTTGCTGGGGCAGAAACAAACGGACTGTGATCTGGAAAGACCTTTTCTTGTTTTAATGGCAGCGTGGAAGTTAATTTGGATCTGGCTTCTGCTTCAAACAGTGATTTTACTGGAGGCCATCGGGAACTGCCCGACAAATGTGACTCGCATAGCGAGCACGAAATGCCCACCGCCCTGGATGACCTGGGGTGACCACTGTTACTTGAGCATCAGTCGACCCGTGACCGACTTTTACTATTCCGGTCTGCGCTGCCGAGACCTCTCTAAACCTTGGAGGGCCTACCTGGCTTCGGTTACCAGCGAGGAAGAATACGACTTCATGTGGTCATACGCGAGTGCCGCCGGGAACCAATTCTTCTGGATTGGATACCGGTACAACAATGGTTTCTTCTGGACGGATGGTACCGCAAACACCGATGTTAGTTTTGCGAGCTGGGTGGATGGGGACCCAGACCAAGGTCTTCGCGATAGGAAGAGGTGTGTCAACGTGAACAACAAACTTCTGGACGTTCAGTGGTGTACGAATCCACGCGGTTTCATGTGCAAAATGAAGATTGGACAGAACAATTAAAAATATTCAAGAAGCTGCACAAAAGGACAAGAATGCTGACCTCTCGTCTTGTACACTAAGTTCTGCTATAGCCAGTTTCGCTTCTTGTTGACATTAGCTCCTGCTTAAATAGAGACATTTACACCCTATGAACAGATTGGGTGATAACAATGCTTCAGCAGCCCATACAACCAGCTGTGTAACTTATATATAAGTGCTCTTTCATCAGGAACTTCGGTTTTGTTGGAGTTTGAAAGCAGCTACCACATATCTCCGAGATGATCTAAATAATTTCAGTTAAAAAGAGAGAGAGAGAAGAAGAAGAAAGACAGAGCATATGGTGCAATTCCATGGATGAACGACAGGGCATTATTTACTGGCAGAGATGCGACAGATCGGGCAAACAAATAATTTGGAAGACGATAACTTGTGCCTCGCTTCTTAATTAGGAGAAATTCATCCTTGGCCTGAGTTTATGGCTTGTAATGTTTCTACCCTAGTTACCGTTGGTGGGTGGGGAGAGCACGTACGATATCTGTAAATTGTTTAAGAATAACAGGAGGCACGTTTACACTAACAGAGACAGAAAACAAACCGTATAGTACCTTAACAAAGCATCTAGCTCTATTAAACACCTTCGCATATATGTTGACTTCTGGTTCGTAAAAAATGACAATAGAACTCGTGCCAAATTCGGCGCTACATCCATCAGACCTACGGTTTAAATGATCGTGCTCATGAAATTCTCGTGCTCATGAAACTCTCAAATGTCTCATTGATCACGAATTGAATTGAAACCGTAGCAGGTGATGTACGTGTTAACAGAAGCGCCACCAGTAATTAACACTGTGCACAATTCAGTTATTAATTTCGTCAACAGGTCTCCTAGACACGTTCTAGTGGTAAGATGCATGTATATATTGATGCATTGCTTCAGGATTTCTACAAACGTCCATCCGTAGCTCCATCGATTCTTACCTGTGTCGACCGAGTCACCTTGCAACGGCAGCAATTTCAACGACTGGAGTTAGATGCGAGTTGTCCAATTAGATCGGTCGAAGCCACCGCTGCAACGACAGCATATCAGTCTGATCGCTAAACAGTATTCTCCAACCATTTCTATTTCAATTCCCAAGTGCAGTGATCAGCATTTTCTTGAAGGTAGAGACGGGCCAGAGAAATTCGAAAGAAAACTTGCGTTGGTACAAAAACCCTTCAAAATATAACACCAAAATGACCGTGTTGGTATCCTATTGACAAGTGGCAGCGTATTAGTCACTGAGTCAAATTCAAAGGGAGGACTTCATCAACACGTTGGAGATAAATGCTGCACATGCATATCGGCTTGAAAAGCTTGTGCTTTGCTACCAGACATTAAAAATGCTTGCAATCCCCGACTTTTCATTGCAATCCCCAACTTTTCATTGAGCTTTGATAACGTTAAGACTTCGACCGTCTGAGCGGGAGGACTTTCATCGAAGATTCAGTTGCTCGTCGCCATGAAATATATAGAGTCGTCAATTTAAACATTCATTGGACGAGATTCGTTATTTTAAAAAACTCTAAAAAGATAAAATACTGTTTTAATTGTCAGACTTCGAAATGAAAACCTCAACACTCGTCTTGATTCTGCTTCAGACAATCGTAAAAGTAGACGGAAGATGCAGGGGGATCGCAAAAAGCATGAAGTGTCCACCATCTTGGCAACCATGGGGAAACCACTGCTATTTGAGTGTCACCCAACACCTGTTTAGCTTTGACGATGCTGAAAACCACTGCCGAGATCTCTCTAACTCTGGAAGACCAGCTCATCTGGCATCGGTTACCAGCGCGGAAGAGAACCGGTTCATAAATGAATATGCAACTGCTTCGCAGATCAACTCAGGCGGTTTCTGGATTGGATACAAGTACGAAGGGGGCTTCAGCTGGACGGATGGTACTGCAGACACCGGGTTCTCAAACTGGGTTGCCGGGGCCCCCGACCATGGCCTTGGCACTGGGAGGAATTGTGTACGTGTCAATTTTGTAGACGAACTCTGGCGCGTTGAGTGGTGTACAAACCCGCACAATTTCGTCTGCAAGATGGCCTAGGTCGCTTAGAATACTTGTTGTCAGCAGCTATAAAAACAATACCTGCGGCAATTTGATTGACACATCTTATTCAGAAAACATTAATGTTGGCTAAAATAACATTTTAAGCTTGGGACAGAGCCGACAGACATAGACTATGATCATCGCTTACTCGCCAGTGAAACTATGCCTAAAGCAAAGCTTCTGCTTGCAAAGATGTTTGCACCCTTTATGAACCAGTTGTGCAACTTGTCCTCTGATTGGGAAATGTATGAGTTTTAAAGCCAAAGGACATCATCTTGGAGATAACAATCATGATCCGTTTTTTCGTGTCTCATGAAATTGTGCTCGATTTATATTTACTTTATGTCAGCGATTCCGGAGGACACATTTCAATGGCAAAATTTCTTCTCGTGAGTTTTAGGAAATCCAAGTTGATTTTCACCTGCATCAGGCCTTCTTAGAAAATTGAATACCCTCAGTGCAAGAGACTCCAGCTCACATAACAAAAGCATCCATCAGCCTTAAGTTCAAGTCTACTGATGACCCATGAACTAATTTACACAATTTTGTACACGTACTTCGGAGAGAAAGTAAAAGTGGAGTTCTTAGACTATGCATGACTTCGTTTTCTTGGACCATATTAATATGTGTAGACTATCTCCGACATGTGGGAAACTACAGTATCCGTCATCTTCAAAGCGTTCAAGAAATACAATGTTGCCTCGATTTTCCACACCAGTGTCATTTTGTGGCCCATGCATGAACTACTTTTTGAGGGCGGAATCATGACTGTCTTATAGCATTGTTCTGTGTATCGCGAAATCTGAGACCATTATTACAATCTAGTTTTACCTTTATCTCCACAGATATTGAACATCGGTACCAAATCTCAACGTAATTATGTCTGCCCGACTTAAGTTCTTTACTGCTCAACTTCTACTTGTTTGAATTTGTCAGTTTGACAAGCATACAATGCCTGTCAATATGAATTTGTGTGCCTCGTGCCTGTGCAGTAATCACTATTGAAGGAAGTGGGCCAAGGTTTCAGGTGACAATCAGATATGAAGGCTGCCATTTAGGATAATATCGGCCACACTTATTGTTCTCGACGAAGTCATCGATGAAGAAAATCTGCTGAGAAAATTCGAATCCAATTATAAGGGACTAAATAGACCTGCTGCCAAAACAGAGAGAAAACCAATAATTTGATCTGAGTTGGCTGGTCTTTATCGGCCGAGCTTCTCGATTACGAACTTGTGCTGAGGGAATTCGATGTCAATCATAGACTCAATAATGAGTAACTCCATAGACCTGCTTCCCTTGCAGAGGAACACCAAAAATTTGATGCGAACTGCCATATATAAACTATACCAAAACCGCCGCTGGAACGGACAGCATGACAGTCTTTAAGCCAGACTATGTTGGGTAAGAATTCGACAAACTCACGGCTCTACAAATAAACAGCCCAGAGAAATTTGCATGCAAAAATATTTTTCCCAGAAGAAGTCTTTTTTTCCGAGATCCATCTTCGAGGTAGAGCAAACATTGTATGCAGTAGGCAAGCGGGACAACTGGTATGCCACCATTAGCTGGTAAACAAAGACCGCCTCGATCGGGAACAGGTTTCAAAAGGATCGAAATTTAATTTCCTGCAGAGTTGTGTATAATAGCCGTCGTCTATAGGGCCTGCTGAATTGGACCGCGTTCGAACGTTTTGTCTAGAGATAGGTTTGCGACAATAGGGCTGATACTGACAAAAAAGTAGCCTTCGTTCATGGACTTTGACTCATTATAGAAGATAGCTTTGGGTAAATAACGATTGTTTGATTCTATACAAAGGAATATACCTAGTATTTTGTTATTGCTGTTCACGATGGTAATAATTGCCGAGTATTTCGTCAACAGCCTGCAGACTGACTGACACAGGCAAACCCTAAGCATCTGCTATAGGCATATTATTACCTTGCTATAAGGACACTGCCAAAGTCTCTCTATGTTGGGTGAGGATTCAAAACTGTTCCATGAAGTTCGTGTGTAATTCGTGGTCAGAAAGTTCTTCGCGGAGAAGCTGGTTGGACCAAAAAGGTTCTTGAAAGAAACGACCAGGAACAATTCAAGCGTGGTGGTATTCCAAAAACCTGCAGAACAGAACGACAAAAGGACTTGAAACTATTGGTGTCCTTTCGACAAGTGACATGGTTTAGTCGCCAAGTCAAACTTCAAACCGGGGACTTGATCAATAAGACCTTGGAAAGGTCGTCATAGGAGCAGTTGCTTAATGTCACCTCAAGTATAAAAGGCCGAACAATGCTGTTTTGCTAGAGTTCGAAATGATAACGTCAGTACTCGTGTTGATTCTGCTACAGACAGTCGTAAAAGTAGATGGAAGATGCAGGAGCATCGAAAGAAACACGGGGTGTCCATATCCTTGGCGAGCATGGGGAGACGACTGCTACTTAAGTGTCAGTCACATTGCGCCTAATTTTTACCACGCTGAGGACCACTGCCAAAGTCTCTCTAACCCTGGAAGACCGGCTCATCTGGCATCAGTTACCAGCGATGAGGAGAACCAGTTCATATATGCCGATGCGACAGCTTCGGGGATCAACACAGGTTTCTGGATTGGATACAGGAACGACGGGGGCTTCAGCTGGACGGATGGTACAGCAAACACCGGGTTTTCGAGCTGGGCAGATGGGCAGCCAGACCAAGGCCTTCGTATAGGGGCGAGATGCGTCAATGTGTATAAGAAATTGTGGATCGTTCAGTGGTGTACAAACCCGCGTAATTTCGTCTGTAAGATGGCAAGGATCTCTTAGAATAAAGATTGTCAGCAACTATACGTAAACAATACCTGCGGCAAGTCAATACACATTTCAACCCTTAGCGTGGGACAGAGACAGACGTGCAGATGTTAAGTTTGCCAACGCAAGGAGTTGAAAGGAATGAACCAATGCATTCAAAAATGGTTTCCAAGGCGTAGTCCAATTGTTTCCGAGATCCGCCATCAAGGCAGAGCAAAACGTTGTATCCTGGCCAGTAGGCCAGTGTGGGACAACGTGTGTGTCAATCGTAGCTCGTAAACAAAGACCACTTCGATTGGGACCAAGTTTCAAAAAGATCGAAATTTAATTTCCTGCAGAGTTGTGCATGGAGCCATAGGGCGTGCTTAATTAGACCGCGATCGAATCTTTTTGTCTAGAGATAATTGTCTAGGTTTTCGACAATAACAACTAGATACGGGCAGATACGGACAAGAAACGAAGCCTTCGCTCAGTGGACTTGGCCTCATAATTAGAAGATATCTTTGGGTAAATAACGATTGTTTGATTTAACAAAGGAATACCTGGTCATTTTGTTATTGCTGTTCACGATGGTATAATAATTGCCGATGATTGCTATCACCGGCCTGCAGATCGACGTAGGCTGCCAAACTATTGGCATCTGCTGGGCAAATAACGACAGTATACGAACGCCATTCGTTCCAGTGGCAGCGCACGAGATGGCTAATTGATGCTCGAACAGGGTCTGGATCGGACTTCCACGATTCCACGTTCAAGCTGATGTCGGGAACACTGCACTTTTTCTCACTGTTCGAACATGTTCCGCCTTATACCAAGAGCCTCTCTACCTGAAACTTAACCAGAATTTTTTGAAACATTTTATTTGAAACGAGTTGTGCTTGGAGAGGTTTTAAGTTGGTCATGTGAAGACCTCATAGCCTTGGCTGCGCAAAGTTTGGTTCTTGTTTTGACCCTGTTACATGGGATATTTCAAGTCGGTGGAAATTGTACCAATCTAGCACGCATGGGGAACAACTTCAATAAGTGTCAACCACCTTGGCTGGCATGAGGAGACCACTGCTACTTGAGTGTCAGTCACCTTGCGGATAATTTTTACCACGCTGAGGACCACTGCCAAGGTCTATCCAAACCTGGAAGACCAGCTCATCTGGCATCAGTTACCAGCGATGGGGAGAACCAGTTCATATATGCCTACGCAACAGCTTCGGGGATCAAGACCGACAGTTTCTGGATTGGCTACAGGTACGACGGGGGCTTCAGCTGGACGGATGGTACTGCAGACACCGGATTCTCAAACTGGGTTGCCGGAGCAGCCGACCATGGCCTTGCCACTGGGAGAAGATGTGTCAACGTGAAAGACAAACTCTGGGCAGTTCAGTGGTGTACAAACCCGCGTAATTTCGTCTGCAATGAATGTCACACAAAATGCTAATTAGAAGCTGGTTACAGTATTTCTTAGTAATACGAGATTTGGACACTGAACTCACTTGCCATCTTGACAACTTGAACTTGAATGTCCGAGTTTCAGCTCTATGATTATTCTGGTTCCCAGACCAAACGATTCTGACAAGTCTGACAAATCGTAGGTCAGGCAGCCGCCACATTAAATAAAATCTCGCCTCTCGTAAGATGCAACGTCCACATTTCACATTAATTTTATTACAGACATACGCATGGCATTACAATTTTGAAATTCAAGCAATGAATTGATAAACTAAACACTTTCAATACTAATAACAAGCATGTACGAATAGTCAGCATCTTTTGGTCTGGAAACCAGACTAGTCTGTGACAAACCCTTTATCAGTCTCCTTCAACAAAAGGACATTTAAAAACTAATAATAATGCTAATTACGATAAGTATTCGGATTTAAAAGGAATTATTGATGTTATTTGTGCACATTCATTCACTTGGATAGCATGCGACATTTGGTATCATTTCAGGAATATCAATTTTCTGTAATCGGAATATGTAAACCTTGCAAGGAAATGTTTGTAAAAAATTATTAAGTATTTAGATTTAATTGGAGTTATTGATGTTATCCGTGCACATTACTATTATTCACTTTCAATTTCTCTCGAAGTAATTAAATTTGTGTCAAGCACGATAGCTTAAAAAAACCAGTTAAGTCGGCTAATTTAAGAATAAGGAGGTTTTTTCCCCAAAAAGTCGCTTGTGTATTTGTAAAAAAAAAAAAGGGGTGTTTCCAGTTTTAGTCGACAACCTGGTATTAAATTTTCCGCTTGGATAGCATTCGACATTTAGTATCATTTCTGAAATATACATTTTCTATAATCGGAATATGTATACCTTGGAAGGAAATGTTTGGGGAAAAAAGTATTCAGATCTAAATGGAGTTGGATGTTATCCGTGCACATTACTTTAATCACTTTCAATTTCTCTCGAGGTAAATATATTTGTGTCATCAAGCACAACAGGTTTTGTTTTAAGTTAAGTAGGCTAATATTCGACTGAGGAGATTTTTTTTCCTATGAAGTTGCTTGTGTTTTTGTAAAATATTTGTGTAACCATTAGTTTTGGTCAACCTGGAATCAACTACGCCGCTCAATTATTGTGTGCGACATTTAGATCTTTTCTGGCACACCCATAGGCTTTGATCGCAATATCTGTACCAATATTTTTTCACAGATTATCATTAATTCTGTCGTGGCTGTGTGTTGCGTTGCTGTTGTTAATTAAAATGTGGTATTAGCACAGTGAGAATTTGCCACAGCGACATTTAGATCTTTTCTGGCACACCCATAGTCTTTGATCGGAATACTATCTGTACCAAACATATAATTGGGTCTCACAGAAACGCTTAAAAACGTTGAACGCATATTGTTTTCACAGATTAGCATTAATTCTGTCGTGGATGTGTGTTGCGTTGCTGTTGTTAATTAAAATGTGGTATTAGCACAGTGAGAATTTGCCTCAGTTGTTTCCGTTAGAAGTCTCAGTTTTGGGTTTATATTGGGGGGGGGGGGGTTCGTGGAATAGTGTGAAATCTTGAGCAAGCCCAGGAACAGTCGACGCTTAGCAAAAAAAATTGTCTTGTCCACGTTTCAATTTCAATGTCAATTTTCAAGCAAAGGAATTTTAAACACAACTACCTTTTTAACGTTCAGTCTACGGATCACGAAAAAAGAATATGTTCTTTCAGGAAAACGAAAACAATACACACACATCCCTATGTGAATTGTTTTCGTTTTGCTGAAAGAACACTTACATTTTTTTGTGAACCGATGACAGAACCTTAAAACGGTGGTTGCGTTTAAAATTCCGTAACTTGAAAAGTACATGAGTGAATTGAATGATTCCTGTACTAAAAGGAAGCTTATTAATTGGGCCTTCATATCCTAGATTTTGATAGTGCTCACCCAGAAATTCATGAAAGAAATTGGTCCTGCCATTTGGGTTCCCTTGTTTTTACTCACCCTGTATACTTTTCGTTAACGGCGGTAAATTTTGCTTAACTTGTTTACAGTGTGTACCGCATCTTATATTGTAATATACATGTATGTTGTGGTTTTATTCCCTAACCCACTCAAAAATCATGTACTAGAGGGCGCCAGCAAGTCTGTGAAGCAACTCGGTAAAGGCCTAGCCTATTAAACGCTTCTCAAGGGCGGATTTGCTTGAGCCTGCACACGAGAGCTATATCTGCTGAGCAAAACGGCATTCGAGGCCGATCGACTGGAGTCAGTTTTTCAAATTGACGGTCGACAAAACAGGGCCCATTTCGAACGAATGTCAGTAGACAACATGAACTAACTTGTTATAGATTGGGGCGTAGCGTTCGGCCGCCTAACAAAAAAACACCAACATGATAAAAATAAAAAGAAAAGGGCAAACAAATACTCGACTTATACGCTCACGAAACAACTTACCGGAAAAACCAACAGTTTCAAATGTCCCGCGCTGCGAATTTGTAGACCATCTCCCACAATGCACCGTTAAAATGAACCCTCTGTGGCAAACTCTTGGTGGCGCACTGCATATTGTGATTGAATCGCACGCCAATAGTTTCCTGCAGCACGTGATCCTCCAGGCCAGACCTATATGCACGCGCTTCTGATAATATGGTCTTTCTATATTCAATGTCTATGGATTACACCGAGTGTAAATGCGCGCACTCGGTGATGCAAAAAACTACAGCCAGGGAGTGAACCGCTTTTGCATTTTTTATAATGATTTTGCGCTTCGGCGAATTTCCATCGACGCCTAATTGACGATTTTGGCGAGAAGCTTAAGAGATAGCCCAAGGCTATCAAATAATGGTTGGGTTTTTCCAGTTAGTGTACTGCAATATAAATAGACGAAGCTCGTTAACCTTATGCCAATTTATGAGAGAAAAGAACATAACATAATGCTTGCCAGAGGGGGACACTATAATTATTTGATGCAGAATTACCACTTAGTCTGCCACATTGTTCTCGGCTAATGAGCTCCTCGAAAATTAATTGCCGCTACCTTGGCTACCGCTGCAAAACAGTCTCATCGCCAGACTATGTTTGGTAAGGATTCGAAACTGTACTCGTGTGTAATTCGTGGTTGAAGCAATTTCTCCGCGGGGAAGCTGTGAACATCTCGGTTGAGAAACGGCCCAGAGAAATTGAAGTATTTTGCGGAGTTTCCATAAAAAAAACTGCAAAACAGAACGACAAATGGACTTGAAGCAATTGGTGTCCTTACCAGATATGAAGTAATTATTACTCTCGCAGTTCTCGACTTTTCATGTGGTTTCGACGGCGGAGAAATCATCGTCTCTGCAGAAGGCCATATGACTTAACTGTCTCCTAGCTAGGAGCAGCTGCCTGATGTCGCCTTAAATACAAAAGAGTCGGACACTGATGCTGTTTCGTTTAGACTACGAAATGATTAAGTCAATACTTGTCATGGTTCTGCTTCAGACAGTCCTAAAAGTAGATGGAAGATGCAGGAGCATCGAAAGAAACACGGGGTGTCCATATCCTTGGCGAGCATGGGGAGACCACTGCTACTTGAGTGTCAGTCTTAAGAATAATTTCAACCAGGCTGAGAACCACTGCCAAAGTCTCTCCAACCCTGGAAGACTGGCTCATCTGGCATCGGTTACCAGCGATGAGGAGAACCAGTTCATATATGCCTACGCGAAAGCTTCGGGGGTCTCAGGTTTCTGGATTGGATACAGTTACAGCGGGGGCTTCAGCTGGACCGATGGTTCTAGCACCGGGTTTTCGAGCTGGCACGATGGGCACCCAAATACAGGCGTTAGCAACGGGTGGAATTGCGTCATCGTGTATGACATACCCTGGAGCCTTCAGTGGTGTACAAACCCGCGTAATTCCGTCTGCAAGATGGCGCGGATCGCTTAGAATATAGATCATCGGCAAATAATTATGTAAGCACTATCACCGGCAAGTCAATTGTCGCATCTCAATATCTACGGCAAGTCAATGTCTGAAACAATTTCAACCTAGGACAGACACAGAGGTGCAGACGGTTACCTGTCAACTCATAAGAGCTGTCAGGAACACTGCATCTTTTCCCACTGTTAATGTTTTGTTACATCAGTGAATGAAACTTAGCCAAAGTATTTGGAAAGCAGTCATGCGAAACTTGTTTCTAGGGGAAGAATTTTGAAAGCAAAATGGCCGCTGAACTGAGCGCCATGGCTACGCTGTCTATGCGTGACATTCCAAGTATGGTGGTATAACTTATACGGTGCACATCTACCACGAATATGGGAGAAACTGTGATGTCCACCACCTGATTGGCTGGCATGAAGCGACCATCGCTATGCTTGAGTGTCAGTCACGTTGCGCCTAACGTTTACCGTGCCGATGAGAAACTGTGTCGAGGTCTGTCCAAACAACAAACAACCTGAAAAGACCAAGTCATATGTCACCGGTATAAACAGTTAGGAAGAGACCCTTTTTAAGAACCTACGCGACCATTTGTTCTTGATACATGTACACGCGATAGGGCATTCATCACTGCGCTGGACGCCTTTGGAACCGCTGTGAACACGGTCCATTGGAACTGGATTGATGGATCCTTTGTCGGGCAATAAGCGCCGGGATAGGATGCCTTGTCGTGGGAAACCCTGGTCTGGACCGTTCAGTGGTGTACAAACCCGCGTAATTTTGTCCGTGATAAATGAAGATTAATCAAAATGCTGATTGCTTGTATGATTATGCTGCACATTGCTGATTTTCGTAGGTAGCTTGACAATGAACTCGATCAGTTGCAGTTGTATTTGAATGCCAGATTTTTTCAGCTCTACAGGCTACGATTTTTCCGGTTTCCAGACCAAATACAAATCTCAGGTCATTATAGCGGCTAATAATGTAAGTGTATAAGTTGGCAACTTCTATAATGACCATTTTCATATACAGATACTTGCAGTCTTGCACGCGCGCATGCATGGCATTACATTTTTTTTAATGCAAGTTATGGATTTATGAACTCAATATTTTTTTCTTCAAAATTGATAATAAGCCTGACGGTTGCTTTACGTCCGGAAATACCCGACCTATATGAGAACATATCCGAATGTCAACGAAATGTAATCGGTAAGCTTCGAACATTTTCGGAAACGGGCACTCCTGCCCGTTTTTGGTCATGTTCATTTTTAGGTGTGGCGCCAACCTGATCTACAAGATTTGTCAGAATAGTCAGCACCTTTTGGTCTGGAAATCAGACTATGACAAACCCTTTATCAGAGGCTCTCTTTCATTAGAATGAAAATAATAACAAATAATAATCAGTACAATTTAGATTTAAAAGGAATTATGGATGTTATTTGGTGCACATTGCATCACTTTCAATTTCCCTCGAAGTAAATAAATTTGTGTCAAGCACCATAGTTTAAACAAAAAACCAGTTATTAGTCGGCTAATTTTCGAATGAGGAGATTTTTTCCCCAAAAAGTCGCTTGTGTAAAAGTGGTGTTTCAGTTTTAGTCAACCTGGAATTAAATTTTCCGCTTGGATAGCATGCGACATTTAGTATCATTTCTGAAATATACATTTTCTATAATCGGAATATGTATACCTTGGAAGGAAATGTTTGAAAACAAAAAGTATTCAGATCTAAATGGAGTTGGATGTTATCCGTGCACATTACTTTAATCACTTTCAATTTCTCTCGAGGTAAATATATTTGTGTCATCAAGCACAACAGTTTTTAGTTTTAAGTTAAGTAGGCTAATTTTCGACTGAGGAGATTTTTTTCCCATGAAGTTGATTGTATTCGTAAAATATTTGTGTAACCATTAGTTTTGGTCAACCTGGAATCAACTACGCCGCTCAATTATAGTGTGCGACATTTAGATCTTTTCTGGCACACCCATAGTCTTTGATCGGAATATCTGTACCTAACATATAATTGGGTCTCACAGAAAAAACGTTGAACGCATATTGTTTTCACAGATTATCATTAATTCTGTCGTGGATGTGTGTTGCGTTGCTGTTGTTAATTAAAATATGGTATTAGCACAGTGAGAATTTGCCTAAGTTGTTTCAGTTAGAGGTCTCAGTTTCGGGTTTATATTTGGGGGGGGGGGGGGTTGTGGAATAGTGTGAAATCTCGAGCAAGCCCAGAAACAGTCGACGCATTGCAAAAAAAATTGTCTGGTTCACGTTTCAATTTCAATGTCAATTTTCAAGCAAAGGAATTTTAAACACAACCACCTTTTTAACGTTCTGTCTACGGATCACGAAAAAAAATATGTTCTTTCAGGAAAACGAAAACAATTCACACACATCCCTATGTGAATTGTTTTCGTTTTGCTGAAAGAACACCTACATTTTTTTGTGATCCTTGGACAGAGCTTTAAAACGGTGGTTGTGTTTAAAATTCCGTAACCTGAAGAGTATATGAGTGATTTGAATGATTCCTGTACTAAAAGGAAGCTTATTAATTGGGCTTTCATATCCTAGATTTTGATATTGCTCATGCAGAAATTCATGAAAGAAATTGGTCCTGCCATTTGGGTTCCCTTGTTTTTACTCACCCTGTATACTTTTCGTTAACGGCGGTAAATTTTACTTAACTTGTTTACAGTGTGTACCGCATTTTATATTGTAATATACATGTATGTTGTAGTTTCATTCCCTAACCTACTCAAAAATCATGTACTAGAGGGCACCAAGGGTGGCAAACTCTTGGTGGCGCACTGCATTGTGATTGCATTGCACGAATAATTTCCTCCAGCACGTGACCCTCCAGGCCAGACCTATGCACGCGCTGCTGATAAGGCCACAAAAAAAAAATAAGTCGGTCTCTGGTCAGCGCGCGCGTCGATTTTAATCATGCGTGTCGATCTTTTTTTTTTCCAAAATGTTCCGCGGTAGCTCCAACAGCGCCCTCTATTTCCGCACCTCCTCATTTTTTTTTTACCAAAGAGCACCAAGGAATGTGAAATTGCACCAAGGCAAATGATCGAAAGCACCAAGGCAAATTATGGAAGACACCAATGTACATGAGGACACCAAAAAAGCAAAATAGTACCCACCTTGTCTGTACAATCCAAGCTTGAAAAAAAAAAAAAAGCCGCGTGGCCGCGTCAATCCCGGAACTTTGGTCTGACCAGAGACCGAATTTTTTTTTTTTGGGCCTAATATGGTCTTTTTATTCAATGTATATGGATTACACCCAGTGTAAATGCGCGTACTCGTTGATGCCAAAAAGTACAGCCAGGGAATTGATAGAGCCGCTTTTGTATTTTTTTATGTTGACTTTGCGCTTCAGCGAATTTCCATCGACGCCTAATTGACATTTTTGGCGAAAAGCTTAAGAGGAAGCCCAAGGCTATAAATTAAAGGTTGCGTTGGGTTTTTTTCACGAGTTAGTATACTGCAATATAAATGAACGAAGCTCGTTAGCCTTAGTTACCAATTTATGAGAGAAAAGAAAATAATATAATGCTTACCGGGGGGACTATAATTATTTTATGCAGAATTATTACTTAGTCTGCCACACTGGTCTCGGCTAATTGAGCTCCTCGAAAATTAATTGCCGCTACCTAGCTACCGCTGCAAAACAGTCTCGTCGCCAGACTATGTTTGGTAAGGATTCGAAACTGTACTCGTGTGTAATTCGTGGTTGAAGCAATTTCTCCGCGGGGAAGCTGTGAATTAACTGTCTCCTAGCTAGGAGCAGCTGCCTGATGTCGCCTTAAATACAAAAGAGTCGGACACTGATGCTGTTTCGTTTAGACTACGAAATGATTAAGTCAATACTTGTCATGGTTCTGCTTCAGACAGTCCTAAAAGTAGATGGAAGATGCAGGAGCATCGAAAGAAACACGGGGTGTCCATATCCTTGGCGAGCATGGGGAGACCACTGCTACTTGGGTATCAGTCTTAAGAAAAATTTCAACCAGGCTGAGAACCACTGCCAAAGTCTCTCCAACCCTGGAAGACCGGCTCATCTGGCATCGGTTACCAGCGATGAGGAGAACCAGTTCATATATGCCTACGCGAAAGCTTCGGGGGTCTCAGGTTTCTGGATTGGATACAGTTACAGCGGGGGCTTCAGCTGGACCGATGGTTCTAGCACCGGGTTTTCGAGCTGGCGCGATGGGTACCCAAATACAGGCGTTAATGACGGGTGGAATTGCGTCCCCATGTATGACATACTCTGGGCCCTTCAGTGGTGTACAAACTCGCGTAATTTCGTCTGCAAGATGGCGCGGATCGCTTAGAGATTGTCATTTTGTCACCCGCAAATAATTATTATATAAGCAATATCTACGGCAAGTCGATTGTCGCGTCTCAATATCTACGGCAAGTCAATGCTCAGAAACAACATTTCAACTTAGGACAGACACAGAGGTGCAGACGGTTACCTGTCAACTCAGAAGAGCTGTCAGGAACACTGCATCTTTTCCCACTGTTAATGTTTTGTTACATCAGTATATGAAACTTAGCCAAAGTATCTGGAAAGCAGTCATGCAAAGCTTGTTTCTAGGGGAAGAACTTTGAAAGCAAAATGGCCGCTGAACTGAGCGCCATGGCTACGCTGTACTATGCGTGACATTCCAAGTATGGTGGTATAACTTATACGGTGCACATCTACCACGAATATGGGAGAAACTGTAATGTCCACCACCTGATTGGCTGGCATGGAGCGACCATCGCTAGACTTGAGTGTCAGTCACGTTGCGCCTAACGTTTACCGTGCCGATGAGAAACTGTGTCGAGGTCTGTCCAAACAACAAACAACCTGAAAGACCAAGTCATGACACCGGTATAAACAGCGAGGAAGAGACCCTTTTTAAGAACCTACGCGACAGTTTATTCTTGATACATGTACACGCGATAGGGCATTCATCACTGCGCTTTTTTCAGCTCTATAGTCTACGACTTTTCCGGTTTCCAGACCAAATGCAAATCTCAGGTCATTATAGCGGCTAATAATGTAAGTGTATAAGTTGGCAACTTCTATAATGACCATTTTCATATACAGATACTTGCAGTCTTGCACGCGCGCATGCATGGAATTACATTTTTTTTAATGCAAGTTATGAATTTATGAATTCAATTTTTTTTTTCAAAACTGATAACAAGCCTGACGGTTACTTTACGTCCGGAAATACCCGACCGATTCGCGAACATATCCGAATGTCAACGAAATGTAATCGGTAAGCTTCGAACATTTTTGGAAACGTGCACTCCTGCCCGTTTTTGGTCATGTTCATCTTTAGGTGTGGCGCCAACCTGACCTTCAAGATTTGTCAGAATAGTCAGCATCTTTTGGTCTGGAAACCAGACTATGACAAACCCTTTATCAGAGGCTCTCTTTCATTAGAATGAAAATAATAACAAATAATAATAAGTACAATTCGTAGTTAGATTTAAAAGGAATTATGCATGTTATTTGTGCACATTGCATCACTTTCAATTTCTCTCGAAGTAATTAATTTTGTGTCAAGCACGATAGTTTAAAAAAAAAACAGTTAAGTCGGCTAATTTTCGAATGAGGAGATTTTTTTCCCAAAAAGTCGCTTGTGTAAAAGTGGTGTTTCCAGTTTTAGTCAACCTGGAATTAGATTTTCCGCTTGGATAGCATTCGACATTTATTATCATTTCTACAATATACATTTTCTATAATCGGAATATGTATACCTTGGAAGGAAATGTTTGAAAAAAAAGTATTCAGATCTAAATGGAGTTGGATGTTATCCGTGCACATTACTTTAATCACTTTCAATTTCTCTCGAGGTAAATATATGTGTGTCATCAAGCACAACAGTTTTTTGTTTTAAGTTAAGTAGGCTAATTTTCGACTGAGGAGATTTTTTCCCATGAAGTTGCTTGTGTATTTGTGAAATATTAACAAATAATAATAAGTACAATTCGTAGTTAGATTTAAAAGGAATTATGGATGTTATTTGTGCACATTGCATCACTTGGAATTTCTCTTGAGGTATATATTACATTTGTATCAAATACGATAGTTTCAACTTCTTCAAAGAGGATATTTTCGACTGAGGAGGTTTTCCCATGAAGTCGCTTGTGTTTTTTGTGAAATATAATGTGTTACCAGTTTTAATACCTGAAATCAAATTTGCCGCAGGAAAGCATGTGGCATTAGGTCTTTTCTGACAGTCATATCCATGTTCTATAATCCCAACTATGACATTGTACACTTCCGTTCATCGGATTGACTTCAAACTTGGCACAAACCAAGACCACAATATAACAACATGAGCATAGGCAAGTGTAGTCAAGATTGCGTCGTCATCGCAGGGAATGTGACGTCATGTGATAAAGAATCGCGGGTATCACTAGTATATAACGCAAACATTGAACGCATATAGGCCCTGATTGTTTTCACAAATTGTCATTAAACTGTCGTAATGGTGTGCTGTGTTGATGTTAATTAAAATGTGGAATTAGTACAGTAAGAATTTGCCAGAGCTTTTTTTTTCTTGAAGTCTTAGCCTCGGGTTTGTGTTTGAGAGGTGTTTTAAAAAGCTCAAACAAGCCTCTGGAACAGTCGACGTTTTCGGGAAACATTTGGGCAGTTAAAAATAATCCTGTATTATATTCGGTCGTGACTGTAAACAAATGTAAAAGTTCTCACAGATTGATTTAGTGAAGTTCTGCATGTAGCACTTTCAAAATCTAGGATATGAAAGCCCAAATCATAAGCTTTCTTTTAGTTCAAATCACTCATGTACTTGCTACATGCAGAACTTCACAAAAGCAATAGTCCAAACATTTGGGTTTCATTTTTTTTACTCACCTTGTATACATGTAGAGGAGGAAAACGGTTTCTTCGAATATTCTCTGTGATTTTATTCTGTAAATTGAAGAGATGAAAACATGACTAAGTTAACTCGTCCGTTGACGAAGTGGATAGTGAATTAGTGAATTATTTAACGTTAATATTACAAACATGGACAATGATATGTTTCAAGAGTAACCACTTTCGACATATTGTCTCCCAGAAATAAATAGAAAATGCTTTGACATTCTTTCAGCCTAATTACCATATTAAGCTATCATAATGTCAAAAAGGAAATAATATCATTAATTCTAAGCATCACGTTTGAACAGAAATGAGAACATTTGAATCGCAATTCGTTTCCCTCCAAGACCAGTATTGGGTACCGGCGGCCATTTTGTGGACATACTAACAATTTATGAACAAAATATAAATTACAGGAAGGAACATAAGTTCTGTGTTCTTTTCATTTGCCATTCTGTGGAAAACAGTTTCAGAACAAAAAAAACCCTAGAGTATAAGGCCTAATCATGCAATCGGCACTTTGTCAAGTTTGTACACAGGGCGATTGCTTTTACGGCATAAAACACGACCTTTCTAAAAAAAAAAAAAAAAAAAAAAAAAAAAAACCTGACATAAAACATTGACGAAATAAAGTACAGTAGAGTGACTTCACAAGAATAATTCGTAGCTTATAAAATAATTAGGAACTAAACTGTTTCACCTGTAAGTGGAAGAAATGCGAATGAGACGATCAGTTAACTCGTTAACACGACAAACAAATGAAGAAATAAATAGTTCGGCGGATATAGGCTTCAGTGGTGCATCAAAAGCAGAGAAATTAGTTCTTCCTTTAGAAATGATAAAATTAAACAGTTATGGTTTTTTTTTGTTTTACCCGTGACATGTATTTAATTTGTGAAATATTTGTGTTATCAATTTTTGCCTATAGTCGATGGAATCAAATTGCCGCAGGATATAGCGTGCAACGTTTTAACTTTCTGTGATCGGAATATCCACACCACAGTTAGGTCAGAAACATAACTGTGACGAAATTCTACGATATATCCACAAATGCAACATAAACATCTAATTGTTTTGCCACGCCTCCATTACAACTCTTATCTATTCTGCTTAGCCACACCTCCTTGATATTGTACATTTTGCGCATGTGCGGGAGAGGGGAGCGTCGATGGTTGGCTGGACACAGTGTTGCCCTCATCACCTGAAGGCGTTGCGGACCTGCGACGAACCCGGCGGGGCCCGGGCCCTTAAATTGCATGGTGAACGGTCCGGCCTTGCAGGGCACCAGCGACACTGCATGTTCGGCGGATCATTGGCGCTCCCCCCACTCCTGCCTCCATGCTTTACCGAACTGTCACTGCTTGGATGTTTTTTTGGCATTTCTTTCCTTTTGTCTCTCGCAGCTCTCACGAAGTGTCTTTGTTTTTCATGTCGTACGTCTTTTTTGGCTGATTAGCCTACTGTTCTGTAACGCAGAAGTATTGCTTATGGCACAAAGGGCACTAGTTTGCCGAACGTGCCATTACATTACATCAACAACAACAACAACACACCACAGATTTAATCAGGTCTCACTTTAAAAATTTGATGAGCTTACTTACAAATTAAACGCATGATGTTTTCCTGATAAAAATGCAGAATTCCTTTTTTTCAAGTTTCGTTGATTTATATCTTTTTCTTTTTTGTTTTTTTTTTGGGCGGGATGGGGAAGTGATTTGTTGGGTTGCTGGGGGTTGTTTGTTTGTTTTGTTTTGTAGGGGTGTAATTTGTTTTTGTTTTTTGTAGTTTGTTTTGAGTTTTCGTGGAGAAGTGATCAATCTCAAACAAGTCACTAAGAAAGAGTAGTTTGCAAACAAAATATTGGGCCGTTCATAATGACCTCTATTCTATTTTGATCGTGACGATGTTTAACATGTCAGTGATTGTCAGTCGGAAGTTCGGTGATTTTTTATTTGTTTTTTTTGTGTTGTTGTTGAGATATGAAACATTCAGCAGTTCTCTGTGACCAAAAAAGGTTTCTTGAACTTTATTGCGCAATTACGAAAAAGCCCGTTCTTGCGCCCATCACTGCACACAAAAGTTGACTTTACGATTTGCTGGGTTGACTTTGTGAAAGAGCGCCATCTATTTATCTACCCCTATCCCAACGACTGAGGGCACCCTCCATGCCAACTGTGTTTTCTCATCCTTAACGGATCTACTGCAAAATGGGCTTCAATTCACACAAAAGTTCACAACGTACACAAAATGTCTGTTTGTGTTCTATGTGCAAGATATGGTGGCCCTGAAGGGACATCGCATATCGCAAACGTGTGCGCACACGTATGCGATGTCGTGAAATTAATCGCGAATATGTGCGCACACGTATGCGATGTCGTGAAACAATTCGCGAATATGTGCGCACACGTATGCGAATTTGTTTGCAATGTCGTGAATTTTATTGCATAC